CAGGCTATTGGGTGTGAGACTGCTTCTGTTTTTATTCCACTTGTTTGTGCCGTCCACACAAGGGACACACCTTTTGAGGGGGATAATTGAGGAATTTTCATGGTACGGCATCAAGTTCATATCACGCCTAACTTGGAGAGGCTGTAGCTATGCCGCAAAGCAAGCCAGACCGACACTTTCTGATAGAAAATTAATCATTTTTCAGTTTATAAGCAAGTTTTCCAGACTGCCAGTAGATCTGATTTAATAGTTTGTATAAAATATAGAATAGAATAGTCGAGTTTTGTGATGGAGGAACAAGAAAACGAGTCACAGGGTGCCTTGCATATAAGAAGGACAGTTATAGGCGAGGATCTCGATGTGGAACGAGCTCTGACGATGCTGTGTTTGGATGATTGCGTTGTTTGGAGCGTTCGGTCAGAAGTCTAGTCAGTTTGTGACTTAAAAGACTTTTAATGTACTTTTAATGCCACGCTCTGATTGGTGCAACGGACAGGCTCGATGCCGGCCGTGACTAGGTTCGCGCGGTACACAGTGCCGATGAGTCATGCTCCGCCTGGTGTTGCATGAGTCGAGAGATATGCACGAGAGATGGAGCTGTGAAGATGAAGATGTAGCCAAACTGAATGTGCAGTAAAAGTCACTGCAGTTGTAGTAAAGACTGGCAATAAAAAAAAAGAAAATACCAATTTTTTTGACCTTGTTTTCGCAACTTGGACTTATTGGCACGACGACGTAGACACAATTGTTTGTGCTGAAAATGACAAAACCAACTGCTGGTGCCCAATACGATGCCGGCGAAAGGTCTGGGAATGTACCACGTCCACGGTCCGACTCAGGACAAACTGAGTTCCTTTAAGTCTTCCTACCAATGTGACCAAGTTGCGAAAAAAAGGTCAAACAACTTGTATACAACGAAAGGAGACTGCGACCACACAAAAGGCCACACCATCCTGGTCTTCATACATATGAAAATGGTAAAGTCGGCCATTGTTATCGTAAATATCAGGGATACCAAGATTGTGTGGCCTTTTGTATGGTCACGGCCTCGTTTCGTTGTATACAGGTTGTTTGACCTTGTTATCGCAATTTGGTCATATTGGCAAAAAGACGTAGAGTAGCGCGCCATGTTAAGAGTCCATAGTAGGCATCATAATTGCCATAGTCGGACCGTGGACTTGCAATGTGATAAGAAGCTATAGGATTGGCAAATAGCTCGGGACAGAAAGAAAGAAACCACAAATGTCTAGCAAGACTGGCGAGGCGGAATAGCGATGCTGGCGACACGTCTGGGAATGTACCAAATGCACGGTCCGACTCTGGAAATGATCATGCATACTATGGATTCCGAAGAAGACGCTTTTCTCTACGTCTTCCTGCCAATATGACCAAGTTGTGGAAACTAGATCAAGCAATTACAAAATAAGATGTTTTCTCCATATTTCATTTAATGTGATGAAGGACTGGTGTTCTCATCCCGGCTGAAGTGGACTGCAGTTTCGACCTCGCATCGGTCTTATCAACATCCCCGGCGGGATTCGAACCGTGTCAGTGCAGCACTTGAGCTTGACACGGTGGATACCGCAGTCCAGCCTGGATGAGAACAACTTTATGGAAATCAAGGCTATGTGAAAAGGTCTACTCATATTGTTGTGTGAAAATGCAACTATCAGTCCTTCATCACCTTAAACGAAAGAGGACGAACACAATTCACATAATAGTTGTATTTACTGGTAGTTTAATTTTTCCACAATTAGATGCCTAAGACTCATGTTTTCGTGGAATTTTGCATAGCTCTGATTTACAAAAGGTCTTGGCATCATTTTGCTGGAGTGAACTACAGTTTCGCCCTTGCCTGGGTGTCGTCACCATCCCCAGTGGGACTCGAACCCGAGTTGTGTGAGTACTGTGTATACTCTCGACACATTTACCACTACGCCAAAACCGTCATGAGTGCTCTTGGCTCACAGAGCAGAAGTGGATTTCAAACAAGCCTAGGCCTTTCTCATGCCATGGGTGAATAGACACACGCACACACACACACACAGGTCACAGCAGCTTCAATGCATGGGGTTCCTACAGACTACGGAAGTCCAACGAGAACGATGCTTTGCAATTGTAGCAGTTTCATCGGACACTACCATGTCTGATTACAATCGCATACTTCGGATCAGCCATATTTTCAGGATCAGTGCCGGAAATGGTGCCGATTTTGGACAATTAGGAATAGGGACTACTGGTTTGGAGATGTGAAACGAAGCATTATTTGCATACTCACATTTCTCTATGGCCTTCCGCGGCAAAGTAAAAACCATTCAACATTGTCTGGCTAAAATGACAAGTTGCCTTTGATGATTGTCTTCTTAATATCCTATAGATGCTGGGCTCGATCAACTTCATTCGAAACTCATTTTGCAGTTGTTTGTGTTGGCTTGGCTTTTATTTATTCTAAGTGTTATTCTCCTGGTGGGGGGAATGGAATGCAAAAGTATGCTGAAGGTGCAATGGATATTCGTTTATGATAATACTGTCGCT